GTCACTGAATGTTCTACCCATCCCTCTCGAACTGGTGGCCGACAGTTGGGGAGATTTCGTTCTCGGACGTTCGCGTTTTCGTCTTGATACCGCAACAGCTTCTCGAGTACGTATGCGAACGGATGCATCACATTGAATTCCTCCTTTGCAGATACTCTAAAAGGAATGAAAAAAGAAGTATATTGAAGTGTAAGCCAAATTTGTCCAAATTCAAGCTATTTTTGAGTTAATGAAAGTGGAATTTGCAATAATTTTCAAGAACTGCTGTAAGCGATCATCAGGTTGACGCTACACTCCTTGATTCGTTACGACTAACAATCGCCGTAGCTGACGTTGACAAGTAAACTTTTGATACCTACTGATTGATGGCGGGCCGTGACACGTAGTGTGAGGGTGTCACCTACACGCGGTAGCTCCCGCTAACAATCAATACGTATCGAAGTTCGTCGCCAAATCTTATGATTGGTCTGGCGTCAGTCGTGGCGACCAGCGACGGCGATGCAGGTGCTATACTCCCTGGATAGGGAAGATCAACCTTCCAAACTCAGCCTCTCCTCTTCACTAAGGAACATATAAAGACATTATATCTACTAACGGAGAAAAAACTGAATGATTACAACATTTATAATTTAAGAAGTACATTAATTTCATTCAAAATGTGCCGTTTTCTTCAAACCCAAGGTTTTATAGGAAATCGGAACATTTGGTAGCATGTTTTGTGTCATTCAAGAGTTCAAGTACATTTTGGTAATCATGTTGACACTTTAGCATATGCCTACCGTAATCCTACAGTAAACATTTATCGTAGAAAATGAATATGTTCGCCAGCATATCCAGTTAGGATAGCACTACAGCATTTTACAAACTTCCTGCATTCCAAAAATTTAGCTGTTGGTGAGCTTTAGCCCTCTGTTTTAAAATTCAACCACTGCTAGTTCAACAAAGCCGGAGTCATTACATAAGCCAAATACCCTTCTTCAAAAGAGAAAAATGCCTTCTTTCAAATGTATGTGTATAAAATTTCTAAGTTTGAAGGCATTTGTCTGACCTAATGTTTTTTTCGATTTGAAAGTATCACGCTATTGCTTGTATCTCATAGAAAACTTTCTTAGGCACTCTAGCATCCCCAAAATTGGTCTTGTTGGGTACAAGCAAAGAAAAGAAAAGCAAATCACTAATTATTTCTGTTTTCTATTCTCATTCTTGCTAAAAGATACTCAATACAAAGCTGGGAAGAATTTACTGTTTTAGGGATGACTGGAGCAATGAGGAAAAAACATTTGAAAATAACTCTGAACTTGACAATTTCGTGTCATAGGATAATGAAAGAACATTCATTACAAAGCGAGATCAAGCAATATTTTTATATGTCCTTTACTAAAATGTTCTATCAGACCAAGAGGTTTATCATTATTCAGTTTATATTTTCCCTATAATGGATATAGAGATTTACTTTGTTACTATAATAACTTTGAATACATAGATTATTTGGCAATAAATCATGCAAATTAACTAAATCGTAATGATGGTAACGTCTACCTGCTAATGCTTGTGAAACCAATAATAAAATTAGTTGTTATATTAGAAAAAACAAGAATTTTCTGAAAACTTCAAAAAATATAGGACCTACAATTGAAGGAAAGTTTGTCAGATCGAACGTTGGTGCACACAAAGCAAGTACGGTAAATACCAAGAACATCTGCAACATTTTCTTCGTCGCTTTGTCGTCAGTTCGTTGGAGAATTTTATAATAGCCTTTGGTCCGCAATGAAGATAAGCTGACTGCCACCCTTTTAGATCTCTTTTGGAAAAAAGTGTAATTGCATATTGCGTGCTAGATACTCCTTGTGAGTACGCTTCAAAAACTTCTACCATTTGTTATTGATAATTTTGATTCGTGACTTTATAGGTTAGAAGATCGTTCCAACTTTGCCTCAACCCAGCATCGCTATCGCATATCATAACTAGTTACAAAATCGTTCCATGTTTCAATCGATTTCTCGATTTGATTGTTCGAACCGTGGTATTTCTGGTATTTCTACACGCTAAATACTTATATGATTGAATATGGTCGCATCCAAACCAAATCAAATGAAAGATTATAGCGCAAGATGTTTCATCGGAGGCTTACATCGATCATAACGTAAATGGGGAAACTCAGTATTCTACCAAAAATTCAAGCTAACAACTCTTTGAAGTTCCACTGAGCTGCTTAGGTATACGCTACTATTAAGGAAACCAGATTTGGAAGAGGCGGATCTTCAAAATCAAAAGCGAAACAAAATCATACGATTTTTTTATCAACGTGGTGACTCCTTTCAAATGCTGCCGAAAATTACCAAAGAAATTTTCATATCACTTTGCCCAGCAGATGTGCAACAGAATTTGAAACGTCTTTTTCTGTTTAAAACGCTTAAAAGGGGGAAAGTGACTTAACCACATTGGTTCTTCGTTGGAAAGTCTGCAACATCAAAAAAGAATACAAATTCTTGAATTTCTTCGATATTTCTTTGCAAATAAGTGTAGCATTAAAATTGTACATTATTTCTGAATATTTGACGAAGAAATTTATTACCAGAAAACAACTACACTAATTATGGTCATAAGCTTAAAGTAGGAACTACCTGTACAACCGCATTCTCGCATTTCTTATTGCGGTCTCGATGGTATCCTTGTTGGAGAAATCGTAATCGTCGATCAAGTCAATTTTGTTTTCAATGACCACGACCGGTAAAAAGTCGCAGTCCTGCACATTTTGAATAATTTCCATCGCATATTCGAAACTCTAAATAAAGCCCTTAACATTTTCAAAAAGAATCAACTTGCTAATCAAAGACGCCCAATATAAACATTCAGTGCTACAAGTTCAGTAATTTTGAATGCATACTTAGTCATTTAAACCTGTGTCTTCCTGGGATTCTTAAACTACTCAATACATTACATGCTAAATTATAAGAAAAGAATCAAGTACAACAGCAAAATATGCACTTTGCTTACGAGAACACCGAGACAAAAGGAAACATCCAGAAGCTTTACCTTAAAATTATCCGATGCGAAAACTACGATCACTGCATCGAATTCAGAAACGTACTCTGGTTGCCACTGAAACCTTCTTTATTGCGAAAATTATTGCTTGTTCGATTAACAACACCTTATCCTTTTTCCGGACATCTATTCGAATATTCTCCTCATCCAACTTCAGTACACTCGTCCCTTCTGAACCACCACCTTCGAATGAGAAGCAGGAGAGTAAGGTGGACTTTCCTGTCTGAAAGGGCACAGTTGTTCTCATCAATTACATGTTCCCTCAATAGCAAGACTCTTAATGTAGTGCCACTTACACCACTTCCGCCACATATGAGCAGTCGGAAGTGCTTGTCGTAATCGTCGTCGTTCATCTCGCTAAATATGTACTTATCATTAGCAACTGAGTTTATCTCCATAGAAGAACATTTTGAGA